TTTTTGAATTTGTGATGCCCAGGAAGCCAAAATTTTAGACAGGTAAAAACAAGGCACTCATTGATTATTTTTTTTTTTACTTTTTTTTTAAAGTTCAGAAAATTCTTCCAATTTAAAATTACACTTTAGAGGATCAAATATTTCCAACAAAGAGTATTTTCACTACAGAAGGCATCTGTCCTTCTGTCTCCCCCATGAAAGGTCTCTTTGGAAGCACTAACCACACAGTGCATGCAACGCCTGCCAGTGGGCTTGATGACCTGAACTTGTGAGGGACCAGGGACTTTTCTGGAAGCAGTCCTTACCCCGGGGGTCCGGGCAGGGAGATGGGGTAGCCCTGCCACACATCACAGGGGTCAAGGCAGGCATCCAGGAAGGCTCAAGTTTTGCAATATGCAACATGATATCAGCAAAAACATTAGCAGCAGGTAAGAGGTGAAAAAAAAAATTTGAAGTACTGCAGGTGCTCTCCAAAGTAAAAGAGACTTTTAAAAGTAAGAAATAATTATTTTGCAACTGTCTGTACAAAATGCTATGTCTATTTTATGGATTTTGTTTTACATATGGAGGTATCAGCCAAAGAAGTTCAAGGTATGTAATTCAAACTACTTGCTTAACTACTTGCAGGACATATCCCTTATTTCCCAAGAACCTTGATATTATGGTCTTCTAATATCTTGCACTGTTAATTTAGCTAACAGTAATTAAACTTGTACATTTGCAGGTTTTTTTGGACTAGGTGTAGAAGAGTTGCACTAATCTAACACTATCTGTTATTATTACTTTTACAGAAGATTTAAAATTTAAAGTTGAAATTTAAAACTTTATGTGCCTGAATTTCTACAAACTTACAAAAGTCACTCAGATTTGAAAACTTTTGTATCAGAACACACTGATTTTGTGTGTATAATATATAAATATGACCTTCATAATTCATACTACCTCACAGGCACACTGCAGTTGTTCCTGACGTGGCAGTAGAACCTTAAAACACTTATTTTAATGATTAATCTGCCAAATGCTAAACAGTAACCCCAATCCAGCAAATAATTTAGAGATTTAGTTAAACACTGACGTTGGGTGATTTAGAGTTGTCAATTATACTCAAACTTCTACAAGTAATTAAATTACATCGCAGCATTGTTCCCAGGGAAAACAGTGGGAGAAGCTAAGAAAATTTCTAACAATTACAATTTAAACCATGTATCACCAGAATATAGCTGTATTCAAGATATATTGATAGAAAGAAGTAAAAGCTTAATTTGTCCTTGTTCATGAAGCCTAAAGTCATTTCACAAATTGAATTACCATTAAGGAATTTCTGTATTTATCACAGAAAATCCATGTGTGTATTCCTTCCAGGAAAGCAACTGACAACTTCCAAAGCAGTAGGGAAAACGTGAGAAAATTTATTTAAAACACCTTTATAAAAGAATTCATTGGACTATTTTTCCCACAGTAATAAAGAGCAAAAACCCAAGGCAAATTCATGCAGAAATGTTTTTTGCAATAGGACAACTTTTTTTTTTTCCACAGTTTCTGTTACACTTGGATTCGTTTGCCTTACATGGATAATTTGCAAAGAAAAATATACTTTTTTACGTGCACATGCAAGGCAAGATGATTGAATGCAGATTCATATAAAAAAAACCAATAAGCATGAGTCCTGTTAGATCCAGGTGGTAAAAGAAGCAACTCAGAGGGAAGGCAAAGGCTACCCAGTGTGAATTGCCCAGTGCATATGCCCTCTTTCTTTCTGTTAGTCACTGTAAATTTAGTAACTTACTTTTCCATTTCTGTCAGCATTCCAGTCCTCCTGATTTTTTCCTAGTATTTTCTTAAAGTTTACTAGCTAAATATTGATAAAAGTCATTTACAGAAACATAACATAAAATAGGACTCTAAGTTCACCACACTGCAAAAATCTCAAGAAAAAGTCTGCATTTTGCCTAGCACTTTTTCTTACATTAAATATTTGACAGAAAATGAGCCCTGCAGTAAAGTAGGATCTCTAAGGACATTTTGAATGCTTGCTTCCACTTTGAATCCTTCAAAACACTTGGGAAGAGTGCTGATTCGTGTAAATACTTCAAACTGCTTTTTGCTAGCTTTACTCATTTATTCATCCAGTATGCCTTGTTTGGGATTGTGCAGTACTGAAAATGTAAGTTTTTGATTTTTCAAATATCAACTCTTTGTGAAAAATAAAGCATAGCAAAAGATTCTATTAAAAAAGTTTAAAGGAAAAAGGTCTAATTACAATAACTTTCAGATTCTTCAGAAATAGAACAGTAAACATATACAAAGTTACAAGAAAATCATAACGTAACCATAGCAGAAATTACATGAACCATGTTATAGACATAGATGTTGCCTATCTTTTCTAAGTACTAGTATCAAGATTGCTTTAGTCTCCATATCAAAGATCTTACACGTGGACTTACACACGGGACATGAAAAAAGAACCCACAGCTCTTTTCTAAAGATCCTTATGCACAATTCTTGCTGCTTTATCTCATAATTTTTCTCAAAACACTTTTCCTCTGAAGGCTGAGGCACTTTTAAGAAAATTTGTCAAATATACATGAGTAGAGAGGAATTTATGATAACGATCCATTTAACTAGCAACAGACTCAAATTACCCTATTGGAATGCACTGCCAGTATTAAACATGGCACACCTCGAACCAGATCAGGAATTTTTAGACGTAATATGCACATTTGAGTGAATGCCATGACCAATTTGTCCAATTTATGAGAAATGTCTGATGAGCATCATATTTATTCTATTTTTCCCTCATCTTGTATGTCATACAGTATCTCATATCTCATATAATGTCTGAAAATCATTTCAAGTCACAAGAATGCATTTTAGTGTCAATTCTGAAGTAATTTTAGAGGCGTATTTCTTACTGTTTTGAAGGATTTGTGGGAATCTATTGCAAGAACACATTTATCTTCACAGCCTTCCTATAAGGAACCTCACTTTTACCTCTATATTTTATATGTCAAGATTGCCAAAGAATAAGGCTCATTGGAAGTTATTAGGGGACAACAGGACAGTTCCTTCAGACCCCTAAAAGGCAACAACAGTTGGATCATTTTTTTTTCTTTTTGAGGAGATACAGTTGCAGACAAACATACAGTGTTGGATACCTGAATCTTATTCTGAATAACAAGCCATTTTAAAGAGATGAAAGTGCACAATCTTCTAGCTACACACTATTTAAGCAAGAGCTTTAAGATACAAAACACAAAGAACCCCAAAAGCAGACAAACTAACAGGTACTGGTTTATGGCTCCGTAGAAACTTAGGCAAAGGACTTTCCCAAGATCGGAGGAAAGCAAAGCTAGCTGCCTTTGCCCTAGGGAGAGGTTGGGTGGGCAAAGCAATAGCTGCAACTGCTCTTCTTGCCTTTGCTTTTCAGCACCGGCAATAACTACAACGGTCAGTCAGGCTTTCAGGGATTCAGCCCAGGCAACTCCGCTGCCCTTGGCACTCTACTGCTCCAGGCGACCCCACCTACGCTTAGAACTAGCAAAGCTTTAAATCATACATGTACCTATTGTTTGTTCGTAAGCATGCACACACAAAGCGTATCTCTAAAAATACACAGCTGAAGGCTGTACATTTCTGTAGCAGGATTTTGCTAATAAACATAACGATCTTTTGTTTTCCTTGCATCCTTATTTTTCTGTGTAATTCAATTTATTGGTTGCTCTGTCCCTGTGCTACATGTCTGCAAGAACTGATAAATCAAAGCTGGTAGCTGCGGGTCCAAATCAATAAGATAAATGTGGGTTCAGAAACAGCTGCAAAATTTATTATACCTCTCTGTTCACCGGCGTGAAGCAGAAAGGAGGCTTGAGAAAGAAGCTCAAAGCAATGGCAACTAAAGTTCTGCTCCTTACTCCTTTTGCCTAACATCCGCAAATGCTCTGTGAGGTTCTTGCATTCCAAGTTCTCAAAGAGCTTTAGGAATTGAGCTGGAACACCGTATTTGCCAACTGCTTTGATAACTCTGGTTGGAAATACTATATGTTCAGTATTATTTAGCTTTATTAGTAGTACATAATCAGCTGCCTGAAGGACTGCAGGATCAGCCTGCATTGTCATTTTTCTTTTTTCTTTAATACTGCCCTTTTTTCCTTAGCAAACGAAAACTGAGCCCTTCTTTTCCTTACTTTATCAACACTAAAGTGTGCTTTAAGCCAGTACTGCTGTGGTTAAACAGGACTTAATGTGTCCTCTTACAGCTGTCTAAAAGTTTGCAAAATAACTATTGTCAAGTTATTTCCCTTAGGAAAAAAGCAATCCCATCTCTAACCTATATTCAAACTTCTGATGCAATAGGACTAGCGCCAAAATTCTGATTATATAATTTTTCAAAAATTATTTTATTGCTGGTTATATTTTCTGCAAACTGCAAATCTGCAAAGGTTTTCTTAAATTTCAAAACAAAAGAACTGATGAAAATATTACCAACATAATATTGCATTCCTTAAAAAAATACATAAATTAGCCATACATTTTAAATAGACATATCGTTTATTAGTTTCGAAGGAAATGTTACCAAAAAGCTAAACTATAGTTGAGATATTATGTCATATTTCATAATGGAATTTAGAGTTTGAATTATTTTGTTCTCTTAGTTTTGTAAAAGTGAATATTACCTGGTAAAATGGATATTTGACTGACATTTAAGAATATACAGACATAGTATAAAATGACTGCACTTTCAATGGGAGCTATACATGTAAGTCCAAAAACATATGGTGTTGTAGGAGATTATAATAATGTATTTCAAAATATCACCCTTCCTAGAATGAAAAAATTACAACAGCCAGAGAATTGAAAATTCAGAAGGGTTAGGTAAATTAAGTTTTCTTCTCTCTAGGATGACAGTGCTGGCAAGCACAACTTTTACCTTTATGCAAAATCTGATTTTTATCAAACTATTTTTAAAAATTACAGGATTATCCATAAGGGAAGATACTTACAGATCCTGCCACTTGAGAGGCACTCTGAAATTCATCAATATCTTCCGGAAGTGTTTCAACCCCAGGTACTTGAGCTGTTCCAAAGAGGCAGAAGAGAAGTAAATCACTGTAATTAAGTAAGCATTAGTCACTTTGAAAATAAAATGCCTATAAATTAACTGCTGGGAAGGTAAATGTGGCTACTGTAAATGCACTGATTTTCAGTTACACTTCAGTGGATTTTAATTTATGTCTGATTTTATGGCTGAATTTAATTTATAAGCTTAATGTAATGTGGAACAGTGTTTCTAACATGATTAGAATGATAAGCAAGCTTCCTTCAGCTGCCAAGGTGCCTCGTAGGATATTGATTATTTGTACTATTAAAACTAAATACTGTTTGTTCTTTACACAAGTGAGTAGTGGATCTTCAGCTTTAATAAAATCAATAAAATTAGATTTCATTAATTCTGTTAAACTAATTAGAATATAGTTACAATCCTTGAAGTAAGAAGTTCTAGTCACTTTAGGCACTGTTTAAAAGCCACGCAAGCTATAATTTTTGCCCATACCGCCACATTTGTAAAACAGCATGACTTGGCGAGAAGTCTAGAATACCTCTTTGACACATACGTAACGACTTAAGGCAGAATTTAGGTACCTACGTCAGAGAAAGCAATTTCCAAGTAACATGCTACGCAGTTTCACTCTTTGCCTGACAGTCTGCCAGGCACTTAAACGCTGCTCATACGCAGCCTAAGAAAACAAGATGCCCTGACCTTCCCTAGGTCCTGCTGTCATTCAGACACTTGGTACGGAGGGTCCTTATGTTCCCAGAGTGCCCCGATTTGTTAAATATCTCAGTCTATACTTACTATAAAGACAGAACTATACTGAAGTACAGCAACTGTGGTTAACAGATTCATTGCAAACACAAATGAAAGCGAAGGAAGAAGAGGTGATGATGATGCAAAGTTGTGGTCAGAGAACTGTACCACATTTTTGCCACTGCCATATCTAGTTTTCAACCCTAATTCCCATATATCTGCACCCTTATTAATTTTTTACCCAGTTCCATCTGGAATAGCACTATATATGTTTCATACATTCCTATTTCTATTGAACATCCCCAATTTCAAACTTTTCCTCTACATCCAAAGGCCTGTTTTGAACTTTCTACTATATTGGCACTTTAAAGGAAAAAAAAAACCAAAAACATGTAGAAGCTACACATTCTAGTCATTTCAAGTTTCTTCAAGTAGAAACTTTCTGGTTTCTAGTAGAAACTTTTTAGTTTCTACTGAATAGAAACAGGAGCTGGCTAACTACAAATAATAAAAAAACAGTGACTCCTCTTTGATAGGGAATGAACTACTGATGTGAAATTTGCTTAGTAAAATCTATTTAGCAAACCAAATATTATGTATCACCACATAATGTGTAGATCTAATAACGCAACAGAACAGGAAATACCACATGTATACACTGTAGCATAGTAACATATAATCTATTATTTTCAGTCCAATTCTATTATGCCAGGCAGAGCCACAAAAGAAACAAGTCTTTGCACACACCTCAGAAATATGTGGAGTTGCATACTACACTGCAAAGTAACTCACTTTACAAACAGGTTTTCTCAGACAAATTGAGGAGTGGTTTTGAAGTTCAGAAGTGCTACTTTTTTCATTTATCCAATATTAAGAGTTTACTCCATAATAAGCTATTGTATTTTAACCTTCCTTCTACAAGAATGCACTGACTGCAAAGATCTTATTTGCAATAATGTCTTCTTTTCCTGCCTTTTATCATAGCTTTCACTCAAAGGGTAAGGTACTTTCCAGCAAAACAGACTGAAACAAGTGAAAAAAGGTCCTTGGTGCAAGGATAATGAACAATTATCCTTTAACGATACTATTTCTTAATATCCAAATTAAAAAAAAAAAAAACAAACCACCAAACATCACAGTAGCAGGTGACCTCTACAATCCCCCCAATCTGAAAAACAGACTGGGAGTTGACAGATGCAGATTTTTACTGGATCAGTCCTGTTGCAGTGTCTATTTTTTGAAGCCTCAGCCATTCTCCCCATCTATCTGTACAGAACAAAAGCAAGGCTTCATGGAGGACTGATCCAAGAGAAAAACCTGACAGGCTTGGCATCTTCAGGGGAAGTTTGCTGTGCGGTCACCGAAGCTGCTGCTTCTAATAAAAACCAAGAACTCAGCTATTAAATTCTTCCCTTAGTTCTTTCCTGTGAAGTGGTCCAATGGGAAAGAGAAACAGTTTTGAGAGGTATAGTTTAGGATAGTAAAAAGAAACTGCAGCGTTGAAGCGTCTTGTGTTCTCCGATCTTGAGACCTGATTCCCATCTCTCATTTTTACTACTTAGATCAAACACAACTCTGTCCAATTCAAATACTAGAGGGAAATCAGTGCAGTGGTTAATTAGAACCAGATCCAGATTGCCAGTGCCGTTGCTACAGTGCCTGATGCCGCAGATGATCTTTTTACATAAGTTATTACATTGACTTTATTAGGTGGAATTGCTTTAGTACGGCTTATTTTATAAGGGCTGTTAGATCAGATGTGCTGCCAATTACTTCTGAACCTAGTTCATCTGAAATCCAGAAGAGAGATGCTCCAGATCTAACAACTTAGCAATTTCCCACTAACCCAGAAACAGATCATTATGTAAAGAAAGCTACCCTCAACTTTTTGCTGTGCATCAGCACCTTGCTTGCCTATTCTTGAACGAATGGTTTACATCAGCACTTCCCAATGCATAGTTTGCTTTCAGCAAGGTCGCTGGTACTGGTAAGTAAGAGCAGAAAACAAATTCAAACAAACCTGGTAAGTGAAGCCTGCTAGTCACTTTTTCATGATATAACACGTTTTTAAGAGGATATAACTAAAAATTCTGTGCAACATGATGCCTTGGTTACTTAGGGTTTCCTAACAATATCTTTAGCAGTCTCTTCTTCTCATACATAATATTTATTGGAAATAAGTATCAGATGCACAGAAAACAAGTAATGTGCTGCATTTATAGGAAAGATTGATAGAATGGGCAGTTGCTCGAGCTCTGTGCCTGTTTCTAGTCTGTGCCCACTTGTAAAATCCAGCTGTGCTTTTTTTCAAATCAAAATGTATTACTAGCCAACATTTTAGGGAAAAGAAAAATATGTATTTTGAAAGACTGAACATTTCTGAGCGTCTCTTGACAGAAATTTGGCGGTACCTCACTGTTGACCTCAGTCCTTTTTGTCCTTTTGCTATTTTCTATATGTTTCTATATGTTTCTATATGTTCCTATATTTTCTATAGCTATATGACTAATAGGTTCATGTATATTCACAGACATGAGATAGATGTCTTTATAACAATATGAATGTCATTGCCCCACCTATCTATCTAACTTTTACTCCCTATATTTTTATTGGAGGTGTTTTTTTATGGAAAGCACTCTCCATCTTCTTTATATCCATAAAAAGGTCCAAGTTACAATGGCTATAGTACTCTTGTGCTCCATGTTCTCTGATCATGAAATATCCAGCTCCGTTATTACACAGCTTCCAGCACCTTCTGACAGTTTCACCTTCTTTAACCCCGGTGCCTTTGCCACTTACCAACAGCTTACTATTCTATTGAAGCCTACAGTTTCAGAAGATGGCATGGCAAAGTGGGCACATCTCCACTTCAACAAGGAGGGTACGCAGGAAGGAAAAAGGAAGGCAGAGATTTGTTCGCACCAAATTGCTTCAGGAACTGGAGAACTTTTTCGTACATGTATGTCTTACCCCTCGACTTGTTTCTGCCGCAATAATCTCATGATTGCCTATCCCCTTACCTATCCCAAACAAGCCACCACCACCTCCCTTCCTGGGAATTACTCTCATAACAGAAGAATTTTGCATTCTTTTCACAGGACTTGAGTGCTGTCACTAGTCTCGGTCCCTCTTGCTGACAATCTTCATCAAGCTTGTAAGAACATCATATTTTGAGATTCTGAGTCCCCTATTAACTTTTTTTTATAAGGTGGTCAACAGTAGATGAAAGGAAAAACAAACAGCATGACTGCATGAAGCCATGTGTTCTTACAAAAGCATTTTGAAAAATTGATCCTTAAAGACATACTAGTTACTAATGCTGACATACATTGGTTTACAAACGAGGTAAGAGGAATGAGTGAAAGCTCAGGTTACCACCATACCCAATAGCACACCTAATGGCACTAAATAGCAGACCACTAGTAGGATAATTAAAACCGACAAAAGTCAGTTCTAATTTGTTTTGCATTAATTAATCAACATAGCTAACTTGTCTGTGGCTGCTGAAGGCTAAACTGCAAATCAAATCCTCCAATCAGTAGACTCAGCTGGTTCTGCCCAGCACTAAGGGAATGAAAAGAAAGATTTATCTTTGCAGATTCTCTGTCCAAACCTCTGTTGCCTTCTGTCTCCATTCTAGTGACAGCAAAGATAAAGTTCATCAACTTAATCTTTCATAGGAAAGCAGAGCATTCTCTGGCAAGATATCCCTTAGGAAGTGCCTTTTCCATTAGATTCCAGGTGCTATTCTGTTCAAAAATCTGAGCAGAAATTAAAATAAGGCTGAGCATCCTGACTGCAGATTAGCACAATGTATGATTAGGTTTGTATGATGAGAAGAAATGTTCTTCAGAGCTATTGTATAAACCCCTTTTTATTTTATTTTAATTCTAGTCAGTGGTGCTTGGAGAGATCAGAGAAGCTTTTTTGATACTTAGTTTAAAAACAGGGAAGAAAATCTATACCTCTTTTTATTTTTACTGTATATTATTTGAATCCCATAGATGCATGTGTAGTATTAAATTAAATACTTCAAAGAACATTCTTTGGCACAGAGGTCAGCTGGCAACGAACAGCCCATGCCTATGCTATTAAGCTATTTTACATCCAAAATAGTGTGCTAACATACAAACTGTCTACTAAGAATGAATCCTGGCCTAAGGTGGCTCCCAAAATATGCCTAGGAATTATTCTGGAGTGCTAACTGGCCATGACAAAAAACAAGTTAAGGGCTCTTCTAACAGATTCGAAGTGCAAACGATTGCGTTCAAATGCCCAGGAACACTCTCTGGAAGTGTTTAATCTTCTTTTACAGACATAACCTCTACTCTTATATTCAAGATGTTGGTGTTTGGGCTTGGTGTTGGTTTTTTTTTTTTATGCACAGCAAGTATTTGTATTACTTACCATCAGAGTCTGATACTGCTGGCTCAGATGCTGGAGATACCATGGAGACATCTTCTGGCCTTTCTGCCAAATTATCTCCTTGCAACCTAAATTGTGGAAAAATGAAACAAACCCATTTGCAATCATATTCCATAGATAAGACATAGAAAAGCGTTCTCTCTGACCACATACCCTACTCACAACTTTGTGCTAATTAAAAGGGTAGCTTTGCTGAAAAGCCAACATTCATGGTTCAATCATATCATCCCAGATTGTCTAGTAAATAAAACTAGCCTCTAAGAAGCAGTCAACTGAATCCTAGCTTATGTATTTGCATAAGGCTTCTTTTAACAACAGTAGGGTTTTGGTGGTATTGTGTGCACATGAAACTGCAAGTTTCCTTCACTACATTCAAAAATATTTTAATTGAACAGGACCGTACTGGGTGTCTGTGTCAAGCTGTTGGCAATGGGGGGGTCTGCAGGGGTGGCCTTGGTGAGGAGAGGCTGAGGCTGCCCTGTGCCGGACACAGGTGCTTCCATCTGTCTCCAAAAGGCCCATGGCAGGACACAGCTGAGCCCCATACCCAAAATGGTGGTGCCTTGGAGAAAACACAGTTAAGGAAGAGCAAACAATGCGACACAGGCAGAAGAGCAGGGAACAGAAAGAGTGGAAAACAGCAGAGGGAACACTGAGGTCAGAGGAGGAGCTGCTCCACACTCTGGAGTAGATACTCCCGGCAGCCCATGAGGAGGAGCACGCCAGAGCCGATACCCACTGCAGCCCATGGAGGACCCATACCAGAGCAGGAAGATATGACCTGGAGGGACTGTGGCCCATGGAGAACTTGCAAGGGAGCAGATTTTTTTCCTGAAGGACTGCAGCCCATGGGAAGACCCCATGCTGGACCAGGTGAAAAGTGTGAGGAGGAAGGAGGGGCAGAGAAAAGCAGTTATGGACTGACCACAACCCCCCCATTCCCCGTCCTCCCTTGTGCAGCTCAGGGGGTAGGGAGAGGAGTTTGGAGTTGGAAGCTGGGCCTGGGAAAGGCAGGAGGAAAGGTGTGGTTTTACTGTTTGTCTTTTTGTTTCTCATTACCTAAATCTATTGTAATTGGCAATAAATTAAACTAATTTTCCCCAAGTCAAGTCTGTTTTGCCCACAACAGTAACTGGTAAGAAATTTCCCTGCCTTTATCTCGACCCACAAGCTTCTTCCTCCTATTTTGTCCCCTGTCCTGCTGAGTGAATGAGTGAGCGGCTGGGTGGGGGGTTGGCCCTCAGCCAAGGTTAATGTACCACAGGGAAATACATGCAAGAATATTTCCTCTTCCTTTGTTACTTTTTAAAAGAAAAACACAGTAATTATGGCAGGTTTCGTCTTCAGGCTTTCCTCCTGCAACAGCTGACTGCAATGCCTTGACAGCAATTTACAAAAATAGCCCTTGTATCTGTTCTATTAAATGAGCATCCCAAGAGTCCCAGCATCTTTCTTCAGGCTCTTATGAATCCTGAGTACAGATTCTCCTCTGAAGAAATTGTTTGTAGCTCTTAACACAATATAACTGTCATTTACATAAAGGTTATCTTACCTTAAATTTATTCAGACATGAAAAGAAGAAGAAAAATGCAATTCAATTTTGCAAAGCCCAGGAATCATAAAAATGCAATCAAGTAAAACCTTGGGGAAAGAAATAACTTCTCTTTTTAAAAAAGTTCCTTTCACTCTGTATTCTCACTCTCTGCAGCTGCTTTACACTAAACTTTGAATTAACCTTTGAAATTAACCTATCTGCCATATCTGAATTTCACATTTTATGACTCTCACAGTTACCTAATACATTTGGATCTTAAATCATCTATTTGTAACTTCTCAAAATCATCCCCCTCCCCTAATTACTTTATCTCCTTTTATTGCCCCTGAGATGGTTTATTTATGATGGAAAGCTCAATATAAATTCATGACTCTTAGCTGAGGAGGCAGTTCCACAGAACAGAAAACTCCTCAAGGCAACAAAAGTGTAAAACTTAGAAGCTGTAAACCTAATTTTAAGAATTACTTCTATGAATCCTTTATAGCTCTATATCTGGTTTGTAATGCTCTAGTTACCGGTTCAAGAGCCTAGCTTGTCAAACAGACTCTTCTAAAGATGACAGTCAAACAGAAGCAAATAACTTTGTACTATTATTATAACAGGTTTGACTAACCTGATCTCCTTCTACGACAAGGTGACCCACTTAGTGGGTAAGGGAAAGGCTGTGGATGTTGGCTACCTAGACTTTAGTAAAGCCTTTGACACAGTTTCCCACAGCATCCGCCTGGAGAAACTGGTTGCTCGTGGCTTGGATGTGTGTATTCTTCACTGGCTAAAAAACTGGCTGGATGGCTGGGCCCAGAGAGTGGTGGTGAATGGAGTTAAATCCAGTGGGCAGCCGGTCACCAGTGGTTCCCCAGGGCTCAGTATTGGGGCCAGTTCTGTCTAATGTCTTTATCAATGATCTGGAAGAGGGGATCAAGTGCACCCTGAGTCAGTTTGCAGACGACACCAAGCTGGGTGGGAGTGTTGATCTGCTGGAGGGTAGGAAGGCTCCGCAGAGCGATCTGGGCAGGCTGGGTCAATGGGCTGAGGCCAACTGTGTGAGGTCCAGCAAGGTCAAGTGCCGGGTCCTGCCCTTGG